CGCGTTGAAGGCGCCAGATATAGGACTCTCTTTCACGGCTCGCGTAAAAAGAGTTCCAATTCAGGGTTCAGGTTCTGGAGAAGGGCCTCACACAAATGAAAAGAGAATTGAAGAAATTTAATTTGGCGATATGGGGGGCCAGGCGGTAGTCCAACTCTAGTGGGAGAACTACTCCTGCTCTCGCCCTGCCATCCCCTTTTATTGAGGCTTTGGGGAAAACATCTTAAGCAACATAAACAGAATTTACATGTAGCCCTTGGGCAGGAAATAACAGAAACTTACACAGGACAAACAAGGTAGATTCTGCTTTAGCCAACAAAATCTCAACTAAAGGTTAGAGCAATTAAGGTTGTTGACCAGCCTTCCTGGCTTCCTGTCAACATCTCTTTTTCAGTGAAACTGATTTGGTTTCCAGCACTTGCTGTCATTAGAACGTCCCAGAACACCATGTAATTCATTTCACCTTTTCTTTTTTTAAAATTAAATTATTATCTGTGTACATATCTTACCATTGGTCCCCCTCCCCCATACATACCCTCCCTCCCTAGAGTTTTGTGTCCATTGGTTATACTTATATGCATGTATACAAGTCCTTTGGTCGATCTATTATCTCCCCCAGATCTCCCTCCCCTCCCCGCTGTAATTTGACAGTCTGCTTGTTGCTTTACTGTCTTTATATCTGTCTTTTGGTTCATCAGTTTATAATGTTCTTTAATATACATAAATGAGTGAGATCATGTGGTATTTCTCTTTCATTGACTGGTTTATTTCACTCAGCATGATGTTCTCTAATTCTATCCAGGTTTCTGCAAATGATGAGAATTCCTTCTTTTTTATGGCAGCATCATTTCACCTTTTCTAACATCTTTCACAGAGACAAAGAAAAGAGCTGGGTTTCCGTGGAAACAGAAGTGTGATAGTTGAGGGTATCTGGGCATAAATGAAATAACTCTCAGATTCAGTGGGAAGAGGAGAAATAAAGTTTTTTTGTTTGTTTGTTTTTCTCCCAGCAATGCACTTCAGAAGCTAAAGAGACTCTGAAGTGTGTACAGTGTTAAGTCTTCACTATCAGACAGATTTACAGCGCTTGAGGAAATTTTTATTTCATTTCATCTCATTTGTATTTTGTCTTTCTCATAAATATGTTGACACAATTTTTTTTAACATTTTACTTATTATTATTTTTTAATATATTTTATTGATTTTTTACAGAGAGGAAGGGAGATAGAGAGCTAGAAACGTCAATTAGAGAGAAACATTGACCAGCTGCCTCTTGCATACCCCCCTCCGGGGATATGCCCACAACCAATGTACATGCTCTTGACCGGAATCGAACCTGGGATCTTTCAGTCCGGAGACCGATGCTCTACCACTGAGCTAAACCGGTTTTGGCTCTTGACACAAATTTTTATTTCTCAGAATGCTGGGAATGATTAAGGATAGGGAGACAAACACCCAACTCCCACCGAAATCTGCAAAATTCTCTACATGTCCTGATATCCTTTCTTATCACAGCTAAACCTTTACCCAGCATTTCACATACAGGCCACTATTCAAGGTAGGTGAGAAGATGTGTTTCTACTTGTCTTTCTTTTGCCTCTTAGTGATGAAAAACCCACTTTTATGGCAGCATTGTGAATGAAAATTGAGGCCTGTCAATATCAGACGTAAGAGATATAACTATCTTGAGACCTACAGTCTCTACACTTCTCCTAATTAAGGAAATCAGCATTGATGAAAGGTCAGGGAAGGTAGCCTGAAAAAGGTCAAAAAGTTCTTTTATTCTCTATTACCTAAGTGGAGTGACAAAGGAGCAAACTCACTGTGTGTGTGTGTGTGTGTGTGTGTGTGTGTGTGTGTGTGTGTGTGTGAGACGGGGTGGGGGTGGGGGGTGGGGGGTGGGGGGATGGGGGGTGGGGAAGAGAGATTCTATCAGATGCACTATAATCCAGAGCAGAGAGAGGGTGGGAGAGAGAGAGAAAGCAAGAGAGCTTCTATCAAATGCACTATAATCCAGAGTTTCTCAACTTCTAGGGACCTAGGAAATGAAACTAGTTGCTTAAGGTTATATATTCTGGATCCAGAATTCCAAATGCAAATTTCTAAAATAAAATAAATATCACTAAACCTTTAGTCCTTGCCAAGGGAAAGGTTTTTCAGCTGCACTGTAATGTAAGTTATTACCCAGGTACCAAACAGAGAGAAAATTTGGAGCTTTTTGACTTTATTACCCCCGCCCCTCCACCAACAAACCTAAGAAATTCTTATCATAATGCACAATTTGAATTTAAAAAGAAGCATCCTGTTGGTTTGTTTGTTTGCAGCTGTTACTAAGCTAAAGTAACCATAAATGGGCATATATGTTTTGCACAAAATGTGAGGCTTCTATAAACCTAGGTGAACACTGTGTTCTTTGTACAAGTTCTCTTCAAATATCCCTGCCAAAGAAGGCTCAGATATGAAGCTTCATTTCATATCTATGTGAGCTCTCTTAATTTTCATTCACTTATTCACATTATAGACTAGAATAAGATATCAGATCCTCTTTAGCTTCAATTATCTTAAAACATTATTTTGCAAATTGCCGTCATTGCTAATTCTGGCAGCTCAGATATAACTTTTCATATGTGATATAATCAAGAAATAATGACTGAGTTATATTTTACTACCTATTTTGACAAGACATCTGCCCTCCATTATTTTAAACAAAAATTTGATGTGCGTTATACTATAGAAAAACAATGTAAATGTAAGTTATCCATTCTAATATAATGAAGCAAAAAGGGGTACTGCCAAATTGGAGTGCATCTATGTAGAAGTTTGATAAGTGACAGAAAAGATGATAAAAGAACACCTGGTTTTTCAGGGAACTGAATCCCCTCTTCAAGATGACCTTGTGAGTAAGAAGAGTGAAGAGGTATGCCATGATAAAACATCATAACTATAGAAACTTACTATTCCCAAGAAATGTGACATAACAATGGATGCATGTAGACTAGTTCGAGAAGGACATAGTCTACGGAAGGTAAATTCAATTACAAATACAAAATATAATCCAGAAATATTAGAGGACATAACTTCTAATTTTGACGTTATGGATGAGAGAGAGTGTGTGTAATTAAGATCTAGCAATGCAGGGAAACAGAAGGTAAGTTTAAAACTGAAGGGTAGAAGGTACGCACGCACGCACGGAGGACCCATGCAATTGCTGCAGTGTGTCTCCTTAAATTAAGCACCGAAAAATGCCTCACCCTAACAGAAAAAAGTCCCTGTTTTCTCCATTCATCCCACAATTCAGTCCACATCCCTCAGCATGATTTTCATGCTCATCATTTAAGTAGGATGCCGCGAAAACAGTTAAAAGCGGAGTTCATTCCCCTCGCCTGAAAAGCATCTTGTTCCAGTGCCAGCATTAGAGCTCAGCCACTAGGTCCTCAGCTCTGACTCCTCCCTAACCCTACTTGGCCCTGGGGGTGTCTCTACACTACCTGGCCTGGGTGGCAGGGGAATCGCGAATTCTGATTGGCTCAGCTCAAGCTTCGTCATACCTTAGCTCACCTACGATTGGCTGGCGGAGCATGCGCTGAAGCAAAAGCCCAGCCAGGCCACGCCCAGCCTGGCCCGTGGGAGGGGGGTGGGCTGTTCCTGCCAGTAGTTCTTTTCCCCCTATTGGCAAGGGGGGGGGGGGGGGGGAAGGGATGGGAAACACGTGGTATGAAGCGAACCTCTATTGGCCAAGCAAGGTAGCACGGGGACCAGAGACGTGGTCTGATTGGCTGGGATGAACCCCAGCTTCCTCCTAGGTCTCCTAGCTTGCTGTTACTATGAGATTGTCCCTAGGCCCTCTTCCGAGGTCCTGGGCTCCGCGCTCCCGGTTTTCCAAGCGCCCGTGGCTGACAGGGCGTGGGAAGAGCTCCATGTCAGCCCAGCACTGGAGGAGGGCGGGGCCGAGGGGAAGGGGGCCCGATCGCTGGCTGGCGACGTCACCGGGCGTGGGCCCGGCTTCCTTAGTCTCTTCTTGGCCTGGGTCTAGGCAAGGATTGTAGTAATCTGTCACCTCTCACTCAGTGTCCTGACCCTTACAACAAAGATTAATTTTATTGTATTTATGTTCGGCCCCTTAAACAAAGCTCGCTGTTGTTTATACAACTTTAAAATGAAAGCTCTCAGGCATGCTGACAGACTGGGTGGTGTCGGGAAAGCCCCTCCTGCCGAGGCCTCTCCTTTTTGGACCTTGTCCGTCTCTCCTTTTCACTTCCCTCCTTAGATGTCGCTGCTGGAGACTGCTCTGGTCCCTCCAGCATCTCGTCTCCGCCAAATTCTGAGCGTGGGATTCTCGGGTTGACTCGGTTCCCGGCTCAGGCGGACGAACTGCGCACGCTCAGTATGCCCGCCCTGGGGGTGGCCAGGGAGAGCGGGCCAGGATGTTGCTGGGTGGCCAAGGTGGTTGTTTACCTAAGTGCGGGCAGAGGCTTCCGCCCCGCCGCGCAGAGCCTCCCGGGAGCGCGCGGCCGGTCGCCTAGGCGACGGGAGAGCAGGGGCGGGGCTGCGCCGCCGGGCCCCGCCCCCTGGGCACCGGGTCCCGCCCCCGGCAGCGCTGCGGCTGGAGCGTGGGCTCGGGCGCGCGCTCTGGCGCCCGGGAAAGCGGTGGCGGCAGCGGCGCCCGGCAGAGAGCTGGGCGTGGAGGCGCGAGGGGCGGGGCGGGACGACAGCACTGCGGGCCCGCGGTCTCCGGCGGCGGCGGCGGCTCCCACTCACGGTTGGCGCTCTGTGCCTGTGGGCGTCCTCGGAAGCCGCATTGCCGCTCGGGCCCGGCCCATGCCCGCCGCTCCCTCCGCCGGCGCCGCCCGGGGGGCTGCAGCGGCCGTGAGGCGCGAGCGGCCGCGTGAGGCGGCGGGGGCGGCCGCCGGGGCAGGGTCCAGGGACGCAGGGCGGCGGCGGCGGCGGGCGTAGGTCTATGTCGCGGGCGGCGGCGGCGGCGGCGGCCGCGGCGGAGGGACGATGCGCGAGTACAAAGTGGTGGTGCTGGGCTCGGGCGGGGTCGGCAAATCCGCCCTGACCGTGCAGTTCGTGACCGGCACCTTCATCGAGAAATACGACCCCACCATCGAGGACTTCTACCGCAAGGAGATCGAGGTGGACTCGTCGCCGTCGGTGCTGGAGATCCTGGACACGGCGGGCACGGAGCAGTTCGCGTCCATGCGGGACCTGTACATCAAGAACGGCCAGGGCTTCATCCTCGTCTACAGCCTCGTCAACCAGCAGAGTTTCCAGGACATCAAGCCCATGCGGGACCAGATCATCCGCGTGAAGCGGTGAGAGGGCCGGGGGCTTGGGATCTGCAGCCGGGCGGGCGGGCGGCCGCCGTCCCGGGGCCAGAGCTCCCTCCTCCCCGCTCGTGTTCCTGGGGGGCGGGGGGGTGGCCGTGGACGCAGGGAGCTGTCTGGGATTATGTCTCTGGGGTCTTAGGCTTTATTATATATATATATATATATATATATATATATATATATATATATATATATATATATATATATATATATATATATAATTTTTTTCCCATTTCGCCTGCATCCCCATCCTCATCCCCATCATCTCGAGTCTCAGCTGTGAGTGCTTTGTGTGTGTCACTCCTCGAATGTTGCATCCCGCGAACCCAGCCGCGGCAGCTCTTTGTCTCGTGGACACTATTGGGAGCGCCTGTGCAGAGCCCCAGAGGAAACAAAGTTTAAAACTTGCAGAGAGGCCGGGGGGGGGGGGGGGGGGGGGTGAGTTGGTTTGTGGTGGGAAGAGAGGGCAGCGGTGCAAGGAATAGCGGAGACATTTTCAGACTGGAACGGAAGCAAAAAAAAAATCTACCTTGGCGATATGTGACAGCGAACATTGCACACAGAGTGTAGGTACTGTACACATGTCAAGTCGAGGGGAAAGAGACCTGGCTCATCTCGTGAACGATTGGATGGTGCCAAGATGTGTTTTTTAAAAAAAATGAACTCTTCAATTAAAATGAAACTTTAAAGACAGATTAGCAAATTATTTGAAGACATCCTAACAGCGCAGTGGGGTTGAGAGAGTATTAGCATGTAGGAGATCAAATATGCCATTCACATTAAAGAATATGGCTTAACTTTTTAAAAAAATGTAGCTGCCTTACCCACCTCAATAAAAAGGGGGGAGGGGGGGGAGAAGGCATTCCTGGAAACAAAACAAGTTTCTTCAAAGTTGTGACAAGTATATTACCTAATTTTTTGTTGCTGTTTTAAAAGTATATTATCTAATGTAAAGTGAATGCAGCTACGGTTTTCCTATGTACTTTGGAAATATGGCTGGTAGTTTAAATGGCTTAACGTATTTGTTTTCTCTTAAATTGACTGCATTTTTCCTTATTTCAAGCATTAGAAGTGTAATAATATCTTAGTTCTAAGTTTTAGCAAATTTTTCTAATTACTGTTTAATTATACATTACTGTTTTGTCTGGTTCTTATAATTAGTTAATACTTGCTTATGATTTTGATATAGTATCATATTTTCCCCCACATAATTCTGCCTGTAGCTCAAAATTAGGCGACATTTACAGAAAGATAGTTGTAGGTGTACTGTAGATACAACCGCATTACAAGTTTGAGTTTACTCATTGAGAAAGAGCAAGGATCAAGTCGTGTGTACTCAAGGGGTGGTCAAGAAATCATTATCAGCAATGGATTTTTAAAAATGTTCTTATGGATTTTAGAGAGAGAGGAAGGGAGAAAGATGGGAAAGAGAAACATTGATGAGAGAGAAACATCTGTCAGCTGCCTCCTGCATGCCCCCTACTGGGGATGAAGCCCCCAACCTGGGCATGTGCCCCCACCTGGAATCCAACTGGTGACTTCTTGGTTCATGGGTCAATGCTCAACCACTGAGCCACACTACTGGGCACCAGCGGTGGATTTTTAATCCAACATATGGATCAAAGGGGAGGTCTTCTCCCCAAGACCACCATCCCCATGAACTCATTGATTATATACTGTAATACCTAAACTAAATTTTGTGTATTATTTCTTCTATTAAACTTCAAACTAGAATAAAGTAGACATTTTCATGGCCTCTACTGCTGTTCTAAAATATGAATCTGATAGCTTTTTACTTCTCCATTCTCATTTAACAATATATTTTATTTAACCCACTGAATCTAAAATACTATAATTTAGTTCTGGCCGGTGTTTCTAGGTTGGAGCGTGGCTCGATTCCGGTCAAGGGCAAGAACCTGGGTTGCGTGCGGGCAAGTACCTGGGTTACCTGTTCGATCTGGGCCTAGTCTGAGCACATAGAGAGGGAACCAATCAATGTGTCTCTCCACACCCCCATCCCCCTAAATACCAATGGCAAAAATATTCTTTGGTGAGATTAACCCAATTCTTGGGTTGGATTAACAAAATAAAATCTATAAAATATATTATTCAACATGTAATCAATATTAAAAAATTAAGTTATTTTACTTTTTCATACTAATTTTTGTTTTTTAAAAAACGTATTTTTTTATTTTAGAGAGAAGAAGGGAGAGGAATAGAAACATCAGTGAGAGATAAATACTGATAGGCTGCCTCCTGCATGCCTCCTACTGAAATCTGAGTCCCCAACCCCAGCATGTGCTCTGACCTGACTGGAATCAAACTGTGACCTCCTGGTTCAAGGACAATGCTCAACCACTGAGCCACCCAGGCTAAACCATACTAATTTTTCAATATCCAGTGTGTTACATTTGTGGAACATCCCAATTCAGACTAGCTATGTGGTAAGTGCTTGAACAATAACTACATATGGCTGCTGACCACCATATTGGATAGTGCAGGTCTAAAGTGTATATAATACTTGAACAAAGAAATTGCTCTAAAATTCCAGTTGTTCTTTTATTAATAATAACTTTGTCACCTTTAAATTTTATCCTTAATATAAATGTAATGTTATAGAAAATAAATTTGTGATTGTATCTTTAATTTCATTACCTAGTGTAGACAAGATGAGGCTAAAAAGCAGCTAAGATGAAAACAATCCTTAAAAAGGTTTTGTTGGTCCTAACCAGTTGGTTTAGTGGCCGCACATGTGTCAAACACAAGGCCCGAGGGCCAAATCCGTCCCGCCAGGCCTTGAAATGTGGCCCGCACCGCGCTGTCATCACTGCACTCCGCTGCGTTTCCATCACAATGACAGTTTATGACTGTTCAGTAAACCATTCGGCCCGCGATTTAGGCTGGATTTTAGATTTTGGCCCCTTCTCTGATTGAGTTCGACACCCCTAGGCTAGAGCATCAGCATGCATACCAAAGGGTCTGGGTTCAATTCCAGTCAAGGGCACATAGCCAGGTTGCAGGCTCCTTCTCGGCCCAGGCCCTGGTTGGGTTCATGCAAGGAGGCAACCAATCTATGTACTTCTCTCACATTTATGTTTCTGTCTTTCCTTGTCTCTCCCACTCTCCCTAAAAATCAAACGTAAAAATATCCTCAGGTGAGAATTAACACCCACACACCCACAAAAGGTTTTGTTGGTGTTCTCTTAAATACTTTTTCTTATTAAGGTTTAATAGGAAGGGGCAAAAGAATGAACATTTAACTTCAAGTCTAGTGCTAATGTATGGCCAAACAGTGAAATAGAGCTTTTCAGTTGTTATTGTATGGAAGGTTTTGCTTTAAAAAAATGTGAAACAGGCCAATACTCTAAATATTTACAAGTGCACAGATATATACATCTATACATAATCTTTTTTCAAACCAAGTGGGCTAACTAAAAATTACTATATAATTTATATGGGTTTTTTGTTTTGTTTTTTGTGTGTGTTTTTTTTTTTTTTTTTACTTTGCATGAGATCACACAAGGAAGAGTGATAGGGAAACAGAAAATGTTTCAAGTGCAATAACACTAGAATTCTTTCTGATTTCATAACTGCTTTTCTCATTCCTCCCAGGGTAAGCCATGGTCCAGACTTGAAGTATCCTTGAACAAGGCATGTTATTCTTAGGATAAAGCCCAGGAATCCGCAATGTGACCTTCCCAGGCATGCAGAGAGTGCTCTTGGCCTTCCTGCCTCTGCAACTTTACCTCTTGCATCACTCCCCATCCCTTAGAGGCCAACACCCAGACCTTCTTTCATTCCTTTCAGAGTCTGTCTCTGAGCTTTTCTTCTACTTGTGGGAATCTTCCACCTTTTGCAGAGTTAATTCCTAGACTTCCCCCTCAGGGAAGCTTTCCTCCTCCTCCTCAACTGAGTAACAACCTTCCCATCTTCCCCCTCTAGACTAACTTCTTGCCTCACCCATCTCTCAACCACAGGCACTTCAGACTTCGTGGCAACCTGTACTTCCCTCTTTCTGAGGCACTCATAGAGCTTAGTTATTTGTGTGTTGATTTATATACTGTTGATCATTAAACTCTGATCCCATGCGGGCAGCACAGCTACTAGTACATAGAAACAATCAAGAAAAATATGTTGGAAAAACTAGTGTTCAGAGAGAAAAGTATTTTTATTGTCCTTTGGCCTCAGTTTCCCCAAACATTTTCATTTTGTAGATCAGTGTTTCCCAACTTTTGACATACGTGTACCACTTCTATCATTTTCGTAACGCTGAGTACCCCTTGTACTCATGAGAACGTAGAATTAGGCGCAGCGAAGCATGGTGTAGTACATATCCCCACCAAACTCTGGTGCAACGCGTATCCCCACCAAACTCTTCCCATACCCCTGGGGGTACGCGTACCACCCTTTGGGAAACACTGTTGTAGATGGAGGAAATGATTCTTTAAAGTTCATTTTGCAGATGGAGTAGGTTATCTCCCTTCAGCTCTAACATTCTGTGGGAGTTCTTGTACCTAATTAAGGCAACAGGATCAGAGGTAAAGTTTAATACGAACCATAAAAAACCAGGAGCACAGACAGGCCAAGTGTGTCTCAGTGGTTGAGCACCAACCCACGCATCAAAAGGTTACTGGCTCTATTCCTGGTCAGGACACACACCTGGGTTGAAGGTGCAATCCCTGATGACAGGTGTGCAGGAGGCATCCAATCAGTGTTCTCTCTCATCAATTTTTCTTCCTCTCTCTCTCTCCTCTCTCCTCTAAAAAAAAAAAAAGATCGATAAAAATATGTTTAAAAAAAAAATCAGGAGCACATCCCTGGCTGGTGTGGCTCTGTTGCAGCATCATCCATGCACCTAAAGCTTTGATTCCCGCCCAGGGCACATACCTAGGTTGCCATTCAATCCCCAGTCAAGGAGGCAACGGATCGATGTTTCCCTTTTTCTCTCCTTTCCCCTCTCTCTAAAGTCAGTAAAACATATCCTT